GCGCAAGGGCCAGGGAGGGAACCGGAGGCTGCCAGGGCCAAAGGGGCAGGCCAGGCCGAGTGGGGAGTTGCACCATGGCACCCTGACTCACCGGGGTGCAGCCAAAACCTTTCCCTTTTGGATAAACTGCAGGGAACCTTTTTGGGGGTTTGGAGGGGGGGCGGCTGACCTACAGAAAAATCAGCCATCCCCAGCTTTCTCCTGAATCCCTACCGGAATCGCCTGTTTTCTCTCGGGGTTCGGAAGCTGCGGCCGGGTGGTTTGGGGCGGGGGGACGCGCCCGGCTGTTGAACCCCTCTCCCTCTCCCTAGCGGATATCACGCTCGACCCGGACACGGCCAACCCCTACCTGACGCTGTCGGAGGACCGGCGGAGCGTGCGGCTGAGGAGCGCCCCGCAGGACGTGCCGCCCAGCCCGAAACGCTTCGACGCCTCCTTCTGCGTGCTGGGGGCCGAGGGCTTCACCACGGGCCGGCACTACTGGGAGGTGGAGGTGGGGGACGGGGACAGTTGGGTCCTGGGGGCGGCGCGGGAGTCGGTGCGGCGGAAGGAGAAGGAGGAGTTCACCCCCGAGGAGGGGATCTGGGCGGTGGGGCTGAACTGGAAGGGCAAGAACTGGGACCAGTACCAGGCATTCACCTCCCCCGAGACGCCCCTGACCCCGGGTGAGAGGCCCCGGAAAATCTACGAGGGCGGGTGGGTGGCGTTCTACAATGCTGACAACATGGCCCCCCTCTTCACCTTCACGGCCGCCTTCGCTGAGAAAATCTTCCCTTTCCTGTGGCTCTTCTACGTGGGCTCCTCCCTCACGCTGTGCAACTGAGCCGGCCCGTTCCCGCAGGGGATCTGCAAATGCGCTTGAGGGTGAAGGGGGGAGTCTGGCCTGGAAGTCTAGAGACCTGGCCGCTGGACCAAAAGACCCACTGGAGATGAAATGAATTATTGCGGTGGGTCACTTTAAAAAAAACAAACAAAAAAACCCTCAAGTGCCCAACACACACTTGGGAGAAAAGCGCTCTCTGTTAAAAATTCATATTTCCCCACTTGCACCCAATTTACATCCCTCACCCGGGCAAGTCTGGCCTGGAAGTCTAGAGACCTGGCCGCTGGACCAAAAGACCCACTGGAGATGAAATGAATTATTGCGGTGGGTCACTTTAAAAAAAACAAACAAAAAAACCCTCAAGTGCCCAACACACACTTGGGAGAAAAGCGCTCTCTGTTAAAAATTCATATTTCCCCACTTGCACCCAATTTACATCCCTCACCCGGGCAGTAGTCTGCTGGGTCTCCGGCTGCCCCACCGCACGTGGGGCTGGGGCGGCGTAAACCATGGGGCCCCCGTTTTTGCGCTTTGCAGCTTACCTGTGGCGAAAAAACCCTCAAGTGCCCAACACACACTTGGGAGAAAAGCGCTCTCTGTTAAAAATTCATATTTCCCCACTTGCACCCAATTTACATCCCTCACCCGGGCAGTAGTCTGCTGGGTCTCCGGCTGCCCCACCGCACGTGGGGCTGGGGCGGCGTAAACCATGGGGCCCCCGTTTTTGCGCTTTGCAGCTTACCTGTGGCGAACGT